CGCGCGGGAGAGACGTCCTGGACCCGGCGCTAGCTAAGAAGGAATGGCAATGCAAGCGAAGACAAGATGGATACGAAAAGAGGAAGAAAATCAAATGCACGCGGACGAGGAGGATGATTGGGAGAGGGGGGAGGAGGGTGGGGCAGGAGAGAGGATGGGGCAGGCGAGGTGCGCGTGCGCACCACATCTGACGTCCTACTCTTCCTTCCCAATGGGGACGAACGACTACAAGATTTCAAGCTCCATTCGAAAACACCACTCCAAAGCCGATGGGCCAATGATCCCGACGAGGAGGGCATTGCGCCCAGACGCCATTGGGCATTACGCCCGACGAGGAGGGCATTGCGCCCAGACACCATTGGGCATTGCGCCCGGCGAAGAAGGCATTGCGCCCGATTTGGGGGCAGTGCGCCCGATTGGGCATTGCGCCCAGACACCATTGGGCATTGCGCCCAGACATACTTGGGCATTGCGCTCGACGAGGAGGGCATTGCGCCCGATTTGGGCATTGCGCCCAGGCGCCACAGGGCATTGCGCCCGCCGAGGAAGGCAGTGCGCCCGACACCATCCAGGCTGAAATGCATGATATTAGGGGGGCAATCAAAAAGCCGCGATGCACTAAAGCAGAGGGCCAAGAACAACCCAAAGACAACAACGCATGAAACTGCGCAATCCCTGCCGCGCGGCCTCCCTCGGTCTCGGGGGGGGGCGCACGCCGCCTTCAGCACTGTCGGCGCCGTCGTCGCCTCCTCATATTCCTCCTCGTCCTCGTCATCATCACCCGCGTCCCCTCCCGCCTCCTCCTCCTCGTCCTCCTCCCCCGTCGTCGTCGCGTCGTTGTTTGTACCGTTCGACCAGCACAGCTCAAAACTTCAAAGCCGCAGGAGAGGCCCTTCAAAAACCCATTCAAAAAGAAGCTCCCGCCAGAGAGGTTACAAGAACAAAAACATCCCAAATCAGGTTCCCGCCTGAATGGTCCCCAAACGACTCACTTAAACGGCAGCTCATACCTGAGAGGTACCAAACAAAACATTCAAAATCAAGCTCCCGCCTGAGAGGCCCCCCAACACGCACGCAAAACGATGCTCCCGCCTGAGAGACCCAAGCAACGCGCACTCAAAACGAGGCTCCCGCCTGAGAGGTCACACACACAACTCTCAAAACGAAGCTCCCGCCTGAGAGCCCCCCCCCAAAAAAAAACAAAGAACTACAAGCGCCACCCCTCTCATCAGTATAAATGTCCCCAAGAATCCCAACAAACCAAAGTTCCAGAGCAGAACCTCTCCTCCCCCCCGATTCGTGAGCTCTCTTCTGGGACTGTTATTCTCTTGTGGTTTGGGACAGTTGCAGGGATGAGAGGGGTGGCTCTTGGATTGTCTTGGTTTTGCTTGGGGCCTCTAAGGCGGGAGCCTCGTTTTCAGCGTTTTCTTTGACCTTGCAGGCGGGAGCCTCGTTTTGAACGTATTTGTTTGGGCCTCTCAGGCGGTAGCCTGGGGATTCATATTGGATCTGGATAGGATTCGAAGGAAACCTCGCTAAAAACGGAGCAGATCCCATACCCAAAGAATTCCGACTGAATTTGCATAGGACCCTCATCGAATTTCAAGGAGGGGGAGGAGGAGGAGGTGGAGGAAGGACGAGTGGAGAAGAAGGCACGGGGGAGCGAAGCGGCCCTTTGAGGGCCGAAAGCGCTCCGTACGAGACGAATATGAAGATCCAGAATGAGGTAGACCCCCTGCGGGTGGGGCACCATCTCTATATTTGTATGCATACACATACATACAGACATACAGACATACAGACATACATACATGCATACGTACAGACGTACATACACACATACATACATACATACATACATACATACATACATACATACATACATACATACATACATACATACATACATACATACATACATACACACATACACATACATACATGTCGGCGGTGCGCCGTGGCACGACCCCCCCCCCCAGCACTACCGGGGGGGTTCGTGCACTACCGGGGGGTTTCGTGCAGCCCGCACCGGGTGCCGCCAGCGGCTTAGAACACCCCCCCCTTGCCGGGGGTTCGTGCAGGCCGCATTGGGTCCTCCCCTGTCGCTTTACCGGGGGGTTTCGTGCAGGCCGCGCTGCGTCTACCTGGGCTCCCCCCCCCCCCCCTGTGGGAGTGGGGGGGTGGGAGTGGGGGGTGGGTTGGGGGGGGGGGGCAGGAGGGCGGTTGGGAAGGGTGGCTCCCGTCGAAGTGTGGCGTGTGCTCGCCTTGTGTTCTCTATTCGCGTCTGCTCGCCTTTGTTTCGCCTTCCTCCTCTTCTTCTTCCTCCTCCTCCTCCTCCTCCTCCTCCTGCTCCTCCTGCTCCTCCTCGTCCTCCTCCTCCTCCTCCTCCTCGTCGTCCTCCTCCTCCTCGTACTTTGTAATGCAGATTGGGGCCGCCGTACGCCGTGTTCCGGCACGGCCCTGGGACGCAATGCCGCCGCCGTGTTCCGGCCCGTCCTGGTAAGATTCGCGCGTCGGGGCTGGGGTTGGCGCGTGCCGGGAGCGCGCCGCTTACGGAGAGGTTGCG